TCCTCCTCCTCCCCTTCTCCTCCTCCTCCTTTTCCCTCCATAACTGGCATTCATTCCAACAAGCTATATTTGGTAAGATGAGATGAGGAAATGACTATTCTTCACCAAACATAGCTTCAAACCTGCTGGAGAAGGATTTGCCCAGGGTGAGCATACAAGCAAATCTCATTGTGTTTACAACTTTGAGTAGTAAGATCGTCTTGTTTCGAGATGTTAAATAGTTCAGTCCAATTTAATGTCAAAACTTCAGTTGCTCATCCACCTTAAGGCATTTCCTCCCCCCCCCCTCCCGCTGGAACTTGACTTAAGGTCCTGCTGACCTGCAGGAGCAGGGGCACAGGGAGGGGTGTCTCACCTCCCCTTGTTCATTTCCTCCTGCTTTTCTCCCGACCCCTGCTGGACTTGTATTGGCATTTTCAGAGTCAAGCTGAAAAGCAGCACCGAGGAGCAATGGGAGGTAAAGGGGAAGATCTTCTTGGAAACGGATTCTCTGTGCAGTTCTCCTCCCATGGTGTGATTGAGTGTGCTCCCAAAGGGTTCATGTGCCAGGAGCTTGGTCCCTAGGCAGGTGGTGCTGAGAGGAAGGTGCAAACTTTAGGAGGTGAAGTCTAAGGGGAGGTCCTTAGGCCACTGAGGGAGCTGTCCTGAGAAGGAGTTAAGTAGCTCTCATGGGACTCCTGAGCTGTCACAAGAATGAGTCCAATCCTTGAATCATGCAAAGCTTCCTGTTTTGAGACGTGGTCTCTTTCTTCCACATATGCTCTTACTGTTCTAACACCATATATCATGAGGTCCTCACAGAACCAAGCCAATGCAAGTGCCTGGCTCCTGAATGTCCAGATTCATGAGCTAAATAAACCTTTTTACTTTATAAAGTTACTCAGCTTCTGTTATTTTGTTATAGTAACAAAAAAATAGACAAATGCATCCCTTGACTGTTGGATGATCTTTGTCAAGGTAAATAAACAAGTGATGACTGTTCCTTGGGAAGAAGATAATACTGCCCTCCACCAGGAGACTGTCATCCTGCCATTCTTTGCACCACCTGAGCTCACTGACTCATCTCCCTTGAATTCTTAGCCCTGAAGTACGATTCCGCATCTTTTTCTCTTGGCTTTTCTTATGTATGCAGGGTGGCATATGTGGTGGACTGTGGCTCCCAGGACCAAAGACCGGTTTTGGATACCTCTTGGGAGTCCTAGAATGGGTGGCCTATACTTTTATTCCTGTTTCTAGAATGTGATGGGGGCACAGAGGGGTGGGGTGGGTCTGTTTGTCACCCGTGGTTCTCAGTTTTGAGCTTCGGCCAATATTCTACGGCAACATGAGAAATGCCATTTGCTATCTTATCACACTCTGTGTGGCTCCTTTGTTTTCTATCAGGAGCTCAGTTGAGCTGGAGAGAGCAGAGAGCGGCCAGGTCTAGGAGCAGCCGATTAAAGCATCACCAAGGCCAAAGGGATGCACCAGGGAGGCCCCTGTCCTCTTCCTCCTTAGCAGGAGGCTGAGCCAGAGCAAGTGCCAGCTCCCCTCCCTGGTGCCCACGGAGCAGAGCGCTGGTTGAGGGCAGGAGGATCAGAGCAGGGGTGGGGGCATCTCATGTCCAGGGAGCAGGTTCTTGACCCCTGGAGTCGGGGAGCGGGGAGGGACGGGCGTGGGAAAGCCGAGGTTGCTGACTCAGCGTGGGAAGAGATGTCTTCAGGTTTTCCCTTTCTCCTACCCAGAAGAGGGCCTCCCCCTGAGGTCTCAGATCACGAGACAGGAACAGAGGCACTGCAAACAGGGGAAGGGCAGGACCAGCCCAGGGCCTGAGGGTCCAGCCTTGGCAACTGTCTTGGGAGTCCGCAAGGCACCACTGTAGCCGCGTCAGGGAGGGAGCCCAGCTGTCCCCTGGCAACTGGGGGACCTCTTGCTGGTTCACTGCTGGTTTCCCAAGGGTAAAGCAGAGTGCCAGGTGTTTGGTAGTGTGTGTTGAGCAAATGGAGGGACCCCAGGCCAGCTGGATCCAGAGGTGACCTGTGGTGGCCTTCAGGGGGCTACAGGACCCATGACGCCTGAGCAACGGTGTTTGACAGGACAGCACATGTTGAAGCGCTGGAGTCATTTATTACTGTCACAGGGAGGACGGGTTGGAGCGAGGCGTGGCTGGAGGCTGTGGGCCCGTCAGGGTGGGCTCTGGAATGTGGAACTCGGAAAACACCATTTGGCTCCAGAGCTTGACGTCAGACTCACCCATACTTCCCAGGGCCATCTGGCTCCCCTTCTCCCACTTCCCCAGCGCAGCGCGTGGGGCTTGCGGAGATCTGTGGGATGCGCTGGGGCTCCCCACCAGCACGATCGATCGGGAGGCGAAAGGAGAGGGTGGTATTTCTGAATCTCTTTTAGTCCCTTCCCTTTTCTGGCATGGACATTCCTTTCCCTGCAGATCAGAGCTTGTATGTTTTTTTTTTTTTTTTCCCTTCAAATCGTTTTTCCTCTCTTTCATCCTCTGTCACTGTTTTCATGCTTGGACTGGATTTTAAGCTTCTGTTTATTGAATGGGGATGAGAGTATGTTCAGGTTTGTACAAACGCACAAAAGGAAAAGGAGATCTGCAAATGCCTGCTAACAGCTGCTCTCTTCTAGAAAGTTCTGATCCACGTAACGCGTGAGCCCGATCCTCCCACCTTTGGCTGTGCTCATGGTTCCAAGCATTTAGCTATTTGAAGACGACTCAGGTGAAACCACAGAATCAGAATCCCAACATTAGAGGAGACTTTCAAGAACTTTCCCACTGTATTCTTTTTTTAAGTTTCATTTTTAAAATTTACACATAATAACTGAATATATTTATAAGAGTCCATGTGATGTTTTAATCTATTTTATGACAAAGGCGATTTTGGGGGGGCTAGATGGGTCTGCAGTTTAGGAAGATTCCTTGGCAGGAATTTTAGTTGAAGAAGTGAAGCCCTCTGGCTCTTCCCCTACCCCACTCGAGTCTCACGTTGGAGGGGTAAAGATGAGGTCAGAAGGGACTGGAACATGCGTACGCAACAAAATAGGGCAGAATTTTGAATGTCCAGAAGCATGCAAGACAAGAGCCTGGGATCCTGGGGTAGGGGATATGGAAGGACCCTCATGGCTTTGCGGACTGCTGAGGCAAAGGGAGAGGTGACAAAGATGATCAGGTGTTCTCTGTGACGGGGACTGGAAAAGATATTTCTAGGGATTTGAAGTCAAGTTTTCAATTGGAAGCTGTTTCCTGTTCTGTGCTCTAATACCCTCTGCCATACCCAAAACCTCACCAGAAACCTCCTACAGGCAACTGTCTTGTGTTCGTGGTACTCTGGAGAATATATGCAGGTGGTGTTGCATTGCAGGAGTGACCAGGGAAGAGGGGGAGCAGCCCCAAGGGCCAGGTAGTACACTGGGTCCTGGCAATGGCACAGCGTCAGGGTGCCCTGACTCGGCGGGCACTGATTCCGAGCAGCCATGGAACACGCTGGACTAGGCTGCTGTACCATGAGCGCCAAACCTGCACTTTGCTGTGGGTCAGGTTTCTCTGGGTCTTGGAATTGGCTGCTCACAGACCATTCGTGTTACCTGTGTCCCCAGCACACACCTCTCCATTGCCCCGGGACATTTTGCTGCATCTTGTCAGATGCATCTGGAAACTAGATATCCATGTCCTAGAAGATTCCTCCACGTCCTGGACCAGGAGCATCACCCGAAGTGGGAACATCCCAATCAGAGATGACTGATTTTCCTCAACATGCATCTTCCCTTCGGCTGCATTTGGTGTTCTGAAGGATCGCAAACCTCTTTTCTGATGGTTTTCTCCTCTGTCAGGGCTGGAAGGGATGGTGTTGATGGATTATGTAATCCCACAGTCTCATTTTGCAGGAGACCCTGAGCCTCGACTTGGCCAAGGTCACACAGCTGGCGAAAACCAGGGGATTGAATTTAGCTCATAAGAGGGAAGATGGGAGGGGCGAGGAGGGGGGATAGTAGGGGATAGGAAAGGTAGCAGAATACAACAGACACTAATATGGCATTATGTAAAAATGTGAATGTGTAACCGATGTGATTCTGCAGTTTGTATTTGGTGTAAAAATGGGAGTTCATAACCCACTTGAGTCAAATGTATGAAAGATGATATGTCATGAGCTTTGTAATGTTTTGAACAACCAATAAAAAAACAAAACAAAACATCTCCTACAGTTTCCTAGAGTACATTTTTTAGATGTGTATGTACTTCATAGCTCAGCTGAAGTCTTTCTATTTTAGCTTATAAAATGTACATAAACTCTTCCAGGAACTCCTCTAAAGACTGGTACTAGAACTTGGGACACTGCCAATCATCCTACAATGCACAGTGCCATTCCCCAGGACAGAGAATGATGGGGTCCCAAACCCCTCCAAGAACACTGTATTGTTACCTGTAACACGCTCCTTGTTTGTACAGTGTACCAAACACCTCTGCAGAGACATTCAGTTCTCCATATTTATATTCAACAGAAATTATTTAACATTTTTCTTCCAAGTGACTGTCATCCTTGAGTTCAGCAGTGATGAACTGGATTATTCCAGATGGAGGTTTCCACTGAGAACTAGAAAAATAAACAAACACACCCTGTGAAGACACTGGCCAGACAGAGGCAGGGAGAATCGGGGTCCCAGCCCCATGAACAGACGGAGCCAAGAGCATCGAGCCTTTCTACTTGGAGTGTTCCCCTCTCATTCCAAAGTGGCAGCTGTTGGACAGTTTCAGGGGTTGGGGCTTTGGGTGGGATCCCATAGGCTATCCCTAGGACAACAGTTGTCAAATGGGGCAGTTTGGCCCCTTCAAGGAACCGTCGATATTATCTGGAAACATCTTTGGTTGCCATAACGGAGGGGGAGAGTGCTGGCATCCAGGGAACAGTGGTCAGGGATGCTGCTCAACTCCAGCCACACACAAAAAGCCTTCCCGACAACAAGGATTTTCTGGTCCAAAATGCCAGTATTCCTGGGGTTGAGGAACGCTTAGTAAGAAACATGCTAAGAGTAAAGAAGGATTTGAGATAAACTGGCCTCCTAAAGACCAAAGCCCGGCTTCAAATCATCTGAAGCTCTGAAAATCTCTGATCAGATTTTCGGCCTAGCTGCCTGGTGGAAGTGAGAGTCAACCCTCCCTCCCTGGAGGAAGACGTCAAGTGTGTGCTGACGAGGCAGAGGAGGGACCAGGAGTCAGAGGTCAGAAGACTCCAAGTTCCTTCCATGGCCCTGGTAAGAGGTTCATTTAATGTTAAAAATGTATAATACAGTCTTCAGAGTAACCCCTGACAGAATGATGATTCCATTCCTCCTGTTTATCTAACCATCCATCCATCCATCCATCATCTAACAATAGATTGATCAGAGGAAATGGAATAATATATTCAAATTATTCAAAAAATAAGTAACAAAATAGTGAAATGAACCCCAACTCTTATCTGTAATACTTTAAATGAGATCTATCATTTCCATCAGAAGGCAAAGATTGTCAATTTAAGTGAAGAAGAAAAAAAAATCCAGCTGAAAGACTGATTTTTTCCCATCAACCTGATTTTGAAAAGCAAATTCTCATAGAATAATATTTAGAATGACTAAAACTGAACAGAGTGATTTCTTTTTTTTTTTATGAGATTTACTTGTGTTTTGTCCTTCGATTCTTAAATTTGACTCTGTTATTTTCATCTTCACAGAGATGAGGGAACGGTGGCACAGGGAGATGGGGCAATCTGATCTGATCTGATCTTGCATGGCTCATACACGGCAGAGTGAGGATTCAACCCAGGCCCATGGTCCCCAGGGCTGCTGTTCTTACTAGTGTTGCTAAATCTAACCAAGGTCTTAGTTAGGAATATCCTGTGTTTATGCCACTTCTGGGAGCGTCTCCACTGGTGATATCTTGGCCGTAAGTAATTAAGCCATATTTCCCAGAATACATTTACTATGGTTTGGACGTGAAGTGCCCCAAGGTTCCTGTGTTGAGGGATCTGTCCTCAGGGCAGCAGTGTTCAGAGGTGGGACTTTTGAGAAGTGATTGGCTCTGACCTCATCCGTGGGTTGGTCCACTGATAGCTAAATGGACTCCCGGAAGGTGGTGGAAGCTATGGAATGTAGGAACAGGCTGAGGAAGTGGGTTCTTGAGGGCATGTTCTTGGGAACTGCATCTGGTCCCTGTCCTTGCCTCTCTCTCTCTCTCCCACCAGGCTGCCATGAGCTGAACAGTCCTGTGGCACCACAGCCTTCCGCCACGATGCTCTGTCTCACCACAGGCCCTCGGCAATGGAGCCAACCTGCCCGAGATGCAGCCTCCGCTACGATGATCCAAAATAAACCTTCCCTCCTCTAAGTCGATTATCTCATAGTGACAGAAACAGCCCTTTATTATTATTTTTTTCAGTTAATAGAAGACCTCTCATTTTCCCTAGGCTCATTTAGCCACATTTTCATTTAGGATTCTTTGGTTGCAAGCAAAAGAAATGGCTTTGAGCAAAAAGGAAATTTACTGAAAGAGTGTGGGGGGGAGTTCATAGGCTAGACTAGAAAGAAGACTGGGAAAGCCGTCTAGGGAACCAAAGCATTTCTGGAGGGGCATGGGGTAGAGAGGTAGTGAGACTACTGTGCTGTGAGGGTGTCACATGGAGATTGCTTTGAGACGTAGGAACGCCAACCATTTACATTCATTTCTTTTTGCCACATTTTCAAGGTTCAAATTCCAGCAAGGCAGCATCCACTTGAACTAACTTGAACGAGATGCCCTCCCCATGGTTAGGGGAACACAGGACATTCCGCCTGACCTTTCCCCCAGGCACACTCCATGGAAGAGACACCCCAGAGATAGCATGGCACAAATACCAAAGGAAGGTAGGTTAGGTGCTGGACAGCCCAGAATGGTGCATATCTGGGTCTCCTATGTCCCTTTAAAACAATTCCAAGGAATTCTAGTATGATTACTGATTTTTCAGAAAGGAAATTTAATAAGGGTGGAATGCATATAGAGGGACAAAAAAGACTGGGATGAATTACAGTAAGGTATAAGTAATTTTCTTGGAGTTGTAGGAAGAGGGCTGGTTCCTTTATTCTTTTGTTTTTTTTTTCCTATAATGTGCATTTATTACTATTTTTGATGAAAATTAAACTTTATCTTTCAAGATGAGTGGAGTGAGAGAGGAGAGTCCCTTTTGATGGTCTAAAAATATAATCACTAGCTACTCTACGTTAATAACAGGAACATATGTTCCTCTTGAAATGTGAGAGCTGACTTACATTGTTATTGGACTCTTCTGAACAGGACCAACAAGAAAAAAAAAATGAAGAAAAAAAAAGTGCCCCCCTATCCCCTATTCCTGAACTCCCCGGTTCTGAAGGCCCTGTGCGTTTGGTCTGGGTGCAAGCGGAAGCCATTTCCCTCCGTTTGCTGCCTAGCCATCCTTTCGCACTTCAAAGTCTGTTTCCTTTTCTCCCACCTAAGGGGGAGCCTGTGTTATTTTGAGACACTGGTGAAGGTTGCCTCGCACAGACTTGTCACCGCTGTTCTAGGCAGCCATGACTTGGGAGGACAAAGGCAACAGTGGGGAGAGGAGGTCCTTTTATGGCGTTTGGAAAAAGGAAAAGAAAAACAAAAGAGCTGTTTGCCCGGCGGGGATTGCAGAACACATTTTTTCCTAATCAGTGGGTCACTTCACCTCTGATATGTGTGGGAGGATCACCATCTCATTCCAGGCCTAAGGCTGGGTCGTCAGAGAGACTCTCTTCTGCTGACCCTTCTCTCAGCTTCTGGCTCCAGTTTTCATGATCAAATTTCTCTGCCCCCTTGGACCAGCTAAAAAGGAAGTTATGAGAGCTCTCCATCACCCGCCCCTCTCCCCGGTCCTTCCTCCTTTGGAGGCTTCCCGTTTTTGGACTGGTTTTCTCTTCCTTTCCATGTTTCTCCTACTCTCTTCACAACCTTTATATCTCTGGGGATTTCTGTCTTGCCTCTAGGCCTCCCTCTTCCTATTTAGTTCTCAGAACCCGTTCCGGGACTGTGAGTCCATCCATCAATCCAGCTGACCACGCTGGACACCAGGAGGTTTAATGGGTCCCAGGCGCTTGGGCTTGGGCTTTGGTTCTGCCCCATGTTGCTCAGCTTGTGGGCTGGTACTTGCTGCCATCATGCAGCAGGAGATCTGGAGATCAGAGCTTGGATTGCTCATTCTCTCTTCCTGCCAATGGGCCCCACTTCCAAAAAACCCAGTTTAGAAAAGATGGGACATTAAAAATAAAAATAAAAAGAGCATGCTATCCTGGCATTTTCTGTTCCAATAGTAGATTTTTTTTGTGTGTGTGTGTGGTGCTGGGGATTGAACCCAGGGCCTTGTGCATGCAGGGCAAGCACCCTACCAACTGAGCTATATCCCCAGCCCCCAATTGCAGATTTCTTATGCTTTGATGAATCCAGAGTGAGATCAAATTGTTAAGTGGATGGGGGTGGAGGGTTCTCATGAGAGGCAGAACTTGGCTCCCTTGAGCCTCTTGCTGCTCTCCGAACTGCTCCTAAGCACCCTTGCTGTATCTTCTCTGTACTGAAAGGAGCTACTCCAAGTCCATGCTTCAGCCTCCATCCAGACAGTTCCTGAAGCAAGGACCTGTCTCACAGGCCTTAGTGCCCAGTAGATCTTCAACAAATACATGGACTCAAGATATTTTTATCCTCTACCCACTACCATTGAATATGTCCTGAGATTCTGTAGTGGCATCAACTGATTTAAGCTAAGAAGAGCAACAATTAGCAGGAGGAGACAGAGAAGGGGACTGGAAGGAAGAGCGGTTGCATAGAAGGAGGAGGGGTAGCACATGCCCCTGGAGTGAGCACTGCTAAGTTAGAACCAGAGCAGGGATCCCTTTAACCCTCCCAACTCAGAGGACAGGGTCAGCTCCCCAAATATCTCCACTATCATGGATTATAAAAATGATGACAATGATGGCACCCTTAGTTAAGATTGATACTAACTCAGCATTGCAGGATCTCTTCCAAGGGCTTTATGTGTACTTACCACAATCCCCAAACATGGCTCCCATTATGACCATCCCCGTTTTCCAGATGAGGAAATGGAGGCTGAACAGCTTTCCCAAGCTCACACAGCTAGTACATAGAACAGAAATCATGAGACCCGTGATAAAAAAAGAAATATTTTAGATAAAATAGACTTAACAAGAGTTTGAGCAAAGAATGATTCATGAGGCAGGCAACTCTCAGAACCCAAAGAGGTTCAGAGAGCTCCTGCTCTGTAGTGTGGGCAGTGAGTATTTATAGATAAGAAAAGGCTGTGGGAAGCAGAAGCAGAAATGAAAAGCCAACTGGTTGCTCCCAAGTTAGTTTCCCTGTAAAAGTTCAAGCGGAGGAATCCCTTATCCTGCTGGCTGGGACTGGACTGTCTGGGGATTTGGCTATTGTCTCTCTTCTGATTCCTCAGAAGGCTGGGTAAACAACTTAACGTTGGCTTGGTGACATGAAACTTCAGCATGAGCGACCCCATTTTGGTTGGCTCTTTGGGGACCTGGAGTTAGGAACTCAGCATAAATCAATGGTCTCTTAGGAATTGTATTTAGGACCACGCAGGCTGGCTTCTAAGCTGGAACTCTGAAACACCCTACCCTCTGGTGATGCTGCAGTGTTCATCTCTAGGACAGGCTTGTCACTTGAGGGTCCATTGTCGGCAGCCTCTCTGGGATGACCACATACTTAGACATTTGGGTCCTTCTTGTTCTCCCCTATGACCATCTAAAACTGACCAGGCATGGAACGGAATGGGGGAAGGAAGGAATGGGCACAATCCCGTACAGCTGCCCTTTACAAGCTCACATTTCCCCCACCCTCCATCCCCGTGTCCTCTCTCAGCAAATGTCACTTCCTTCCAACCAGCCAAGAAACCTGTCACAGCCATGTCCCAAGCCTTGCTTCCTGGCCTCCTAAAGCTGCTCACATCTTCCTCTCATAGGGATGACCACTGCCACGTTCAGGTCCTCTGTGCTCTCTCAGGCCACTGCCACAGTGTCCTAGCTGTGTGCCTGCTGGTGATGTTGATGTTTAACACAGTGCTTCTCAGACTCGTTTAAACACAGATGTGTGGGCACCCATCCAGACTGAGATTCGTCTGTTCTGGGGTGGGGTCTGAGAATGTGCTCTTCTAACAGGCCCTCAGGTGTGCCGATCTTCTGATGCCCTCCTGTTTTGCTGGTCAGGGGTGACTGCACTTAGACAACCTTTGTGCTAATCTGTTCTCTAGGCACCCTGCAAGTCATCACCTACAACCAGGGAGCTCTATGCTTTGACCCGGCCTCAACTCCCATTGCCTGGAGGGGAAAGTCAATGCCACTTGGCATACAGGAGGCCACTTACCTGTTGAGCTCTACCCCGCCTTGTAGGTTACATGGCTGCAGCTCTGAGCTGCTCTTTCGCTGCTCCCACATCCTCAGTCTTTGCTGGTTCTCATCTGCAGGCTTGGGACACAATACGCGGCAGCTGTTTTATTATAGAGTAAGAGCTGATGTCCACAGAGGCTCTATTGGAGGAAGGCTCTGAGTTCCTCCTTTAGAGTACACTCCTGAGGGTCTCCTTTGCATGACCTGGCTGCAGTTAACAACTTCCACATACGCTCCGCTCAGCCCCTTCTTCCTTGCCCTCCCTCTTGCTGGGCTGGGTTAGCCTCTGTCCTTTACCTGGCCTTTCACCCTTTGGTTGTGGCTTCTTTACACATTAACATGGGGCCATCTGAGACTGATTAAATGTCAAGTCAGTGGTGGCAGCTTCCTTCAGGGGACTCCTGCTAATGATGCTATTGATCCAATGATTAATCTTAGCTGGAGAGGATCAGCTTCTCTAAGTGTGCATCCCAGCCCCTTCCAGAAGGAAACTCCCAGATAATTGCTCTAGTGATTATTGTGAACGTCTGAGTTTTTTGCCTCCCAAATCAGTAGGAGATGGGAATAGAGAAGTGGAGGACAGGATGCACAGAGTAATTGATTCAGAAACCACAACTACAGTGCTGCTTCTGGATTTGCTCTTATCTTAAAACCCAGATACCCTTTGTTCTAGAAATAAAAGTTCCCAAAGAAACATGATTAGACTTGTGTCCCCTCTGTCCCAGGCTCCATCCAAGTCACTAAGCAAGTGTTTGGGTTCCCTTTAAGGCTCCTGTTTTTTCTTCTATGGAATAAGAACTTGGGAGGATATAAACTCTTAAGGATTTGTCCTTAAAGTTCTGAATCACATCATTATGGGAATTTTGACTGTTCCTAATTAACCTTGACCTTGTTCTTTCTGAAGCCTCAGGCTAAGCCTGTGCCTGGAGCTAAAAGAAATTCAGGATGCATTACAGCTGGATAAGAAGGAGAGGGAATGGGAGACTATGACAATCAATTTGGATTCAGCAAATCTTTATTGAGCCCCCTATTATTTCTTGTGCTGGATTCACCTACAGATGCCCAAATTTTTCCTCACCACCCCCCCCCGTTTTTTACCGAGATGACTGTGTTAATAAAATTAAATAAATAAAGCAGTTCAATAGATAAGTAGACTCCTTTGTCTTCATGACTCTCCATAACCAGGCACTTGCTCAGTTATATTTTAATTGAATTTGTATGTTTGATTTAGTTTCTTGGGTCTTTGGTTTTCTCTGACCCTACAGTTAAAAAAAAATTGCTTTTAGGTTAAAAACTTTTCACAGAAGGGATTCTAGATCCACCCACAAAGGCTCAACTCAAGCCCGTGAAGCAAGCTGTTAGACTCTGCTGCATACCTAGAATTCTCTGGGGCAGAGGCAGGCTGTGTGGTCTTTGGTGGTCTTCGTCTGGTTTCATCCCTGGGGGAGGCATTTTTTTCAATGGCTTTATTAGGTATAATCAGTAAACAACAAACTGCCTTTATTTAATGCAGACTCTTGGACGAGTCTGGACCTGGGGCTGTTCTTAATTATCTGAATATAGACACAAAATAAGACCCAAGTGTCGGAGAGTCACCTAGGAAAGCTGCAGTCAGCTGACCTTTAGTAGACAATCCTGCCTGGGGACAAACATTTGGGAATCATCAGAGACTATGGTGGTTAAGAAACCAAGCTCTGGAACCACTTACCCATAAGCATGACTCTGTAGTGGCACTTGTTGCATCACGTGTGACAATGCAAATGTGTACTGTCATCCCTCCATCCCTCCACCAGACCCTGAGGACCAGCATCTGTGTCACTGATCTCTCTTTTCCTAGTGGCCAGCACTGTGTGCCTGGGCACATAATAGGTGCTCGGTGAGTGAGTGAACAATGACATAGCTTATGACCTGGCAGAAGAGCGAGTTGGTGCATGGATATTACTCCGAGTAGGTAGAGGGCACTTACCATTACAGTGACATGGACACCTAGGAAAGAAGTGACTGGAGCTGTAGGAAGAATTCAGGGAAGACTTCTTGGGGGAGGCACAATTTAAACTGAAATTTGAAAGGTATATTCCTATCAACTGAACTATAGAGAAAAACAAATTGAAAGTTTGCATATGTAGCAGGTCCCCTGCCTCCTTATCTGCAACGAATCCCACCCAAGATGCCCCATAGATGCCCAGAACCACAGATGGTACTGAACCCTGAATATAGTATGTTTCCCTTTATATATACGTACCTTTCATAGTATTTAATCGCTAAATTACGTGCACTAAAAGATTAACAGCAACGAGTAATAAAATAAAACAATTATAACAATGTACTATAATAAAACTTAAGTGAACGTGGTTTTTCTCTCTCAAATACATTAATGTACTTTCATCTTTGCATTTAAAGGAAGTACTTCGTGGTTTTTCTTCAGCATGTCTGGATTTTCATCATCACTACTCTCATGCTTCGGGGCCATTAGGTACAATAAGGGCAACTTGAGCACAAGGACTGCAGTACTTCATCAGCTCATTTGATGACAGAGATAGCTACTAAGTGGCTAATGGGCAGGTAGCACATACCACGTGGATACCCTGGACAAAGAGATGATTCATGACCTGGGCAGGATGGAGTGGGATGGTGCATGATTTCAACATACTACTCAGCATGTTAGACAATATAAAACCTACAAATTTTTTATTTCTGGAATTTTGTTCTTCATTATCTTCAACTATGGCCTTTGACTGCAGAGGACTGAAACCGGGGAAAGCAAAATAATGGTTAAGGGGTATTACTGTATTTTCATAGGTACTTCAAAATTCATCTAGATTTACTATGTATTGGTTTGACTTCATACAGAATGCCCAGCTACTTACAGGTATATCTGGGGAATTTTGGCAAACATTAGATCAGTTATTTATGTCAGGCTTAAGCAAAAGGGAACACTGTTAGGGTTGCTGTGTGCTAATAAGTGACAACATTCCAGAAGGTCTTTGCTGTTTCACATATTTGATCATTGAGAACCTGGCTCTGTAGCTCTTGACATGGGAAAAATAAAACCCACTTTATTAATTTGAGAAAAGGATAACCTTATGCACTGAAGATACCCCGAGATCCATGATGAAGGGAAGATGGGAATTTATTGCTGTCTGAAGGCAACGTTCCTGCAGCGAGCATCGAGGCTGGTGTGCTGGCCCGGCCTCTTGTGGCCACGGATGGACCAAGGTTTTCTCATCCTTTGCCATGCCTCAGGACTTTGTCCTCATCTTTGTGGTCCCTCTACAATGCAGCTCACATGAAGGAACCAAAGCATCTCCAGGGTAAGCAGACTGGGAAGGATGCAGAAGTTCCTCAGGTGATTGCTGTCCCCTTTCTAGGCCCAAAGCTAGCCATTTACCCACTCTGCACAGCTGGCTGTGGGGGAACTAATGTAGTCACAACCTGACCTTAGTCTAGCTTCAATTCTGGGCTAAGTTCCTGAGGAAGAAATGCATTTGGTAGACGATCATAGTGTTTACTAAGTAGGACTTTATACAGAATGCCCAGCCACTTAGAGGTGTATCTGGGGAATGGCAAACATTAGATCAGTTATTTATGTCAGACTTAAGCAAGAAATGCCTCACACCAGCCGGAATCCACCAGATGATGCAGTTGAGAAGGCCTATCCGGTCCATTATGAGGTGGGGAAGTTAGTCCTCATCTGTCGGGATCCACCCACATCTTCCCCCTTTTCCTTTTGTACAACCTCTCGTCGCTTTTCCTCCTGTTGCTTCTTTCTATGAAGTTCTGCCTTCTCCCAAGGTCTTACCTTAAATCTGGGTTGTCAGTCATTCTCTGCTTCTCCTGATCCCACAGCTGG